AAAAAGATTGATTTATTTGTTATGTATACAGTGTTCTGCTTGCAGGCCAGAATAGGGCACCAGATCTCATTACAGACAGTTGTGAGCCACCATGTGGTTGCTGGGAATTGAACCCAGGTCCTTTGGAAGACCAGCAGTGCTCTTAACTTCTGAGCCATCTCTCCAGCCCCAGATTTGTTTTTCTAATGGATGCACCTGTATCACCACCAGTCAAGATGAAGATTTCTCACTGTGCAGGAGACCCTTTCCCTCTCCCCGTCAGTTCCTTTACCACAGAATTTACCTTTGTTTTGTTGTTGTGTTTGGTTGGTTTGCTTTGTTTCCTTTGTTTTTGTTTTTAAAGACAGGGTCTCACTCTGTAGCCCAGGCTGGCCTCGAACTCACAGAGATCCGCCTGCCTCTGCCTCTGAGTGCTGTGATTAAAGACTTGTGCCACCGCCGCCCTGCTGTGACCTGTCTTTAACCTAGTCGACACTTCAGTGTCTTCCTGCAGCCTCCACCTGCCTCTTCTTGTGGCTGACCGGCTCCTCCAGGCCCTGTCTTGCCCAGAAGCTAGGACGTTAAGTCGAGTTGGCCTTCATGGGAACATCTGACCCGCTAACGGGCTCTCCTCTTCTCCCCAGATGAGCTCCCCACACAAGAACAGCACCCCGCCGGCGCTGAACGAGTATGAGGTTCTGCCCAATGGCTGTGAAGCCCACTGGGAGGTGGTGGAGCGGATCCTGTTCATCTATGCCAAGCTCAACCCTGGCATCGCTTACGTGCAGGGCATGAATGAGATCGTGGGCCCCCTCTACTATACTTTTGCCACTGACCCCAACAGCGAGTGGAAAGGTAGGCAGGCTCTTAGCCTCCTGAATCTCCCAGGGCTGGCTCCCTAGGGAAAGAGAATGGGACTAGCCAGACCGATGGGCCGTGTGGGGCTCCGGAGCCTCATCTGCTTTCAGATGCCTGTGCTCCTGTCAGAGCAGGTGCTGGCCTGGGGTGTACCTAAGACCCTTTCCAGCTCTGCCTTCTAGAATGCTGCTGTTCACTGATCTGTTGGTACTTGTAACTTCCTGTAGAATAGATGGTCACAAGCAGCTGAACGATGTGACCCATGGGCATAGTGTATGATAAACTGCCGAGTGGACGTGGGCCTAGAAGGTGAGGCAGAAGTGGTAGTACCCTTAGAGGTGGACAGGGGCCAAGGTGAGGGACCCATTCCAGCCTCCACAGGTGCAGCGGGGTGACACATAGAAGTGGGGTGTATGTCCAGGGTGCGAGGTGAGGAGGGACTGAAGAACACCTTTCCCTGTGGCCACCCACACCTCACTGTCTGTCCCAGAGCACGCTGAAGCCGACACCTTTTTCTGCTTCACCAACCTCATGGCTGAGATCCGGGACAACTTCATCAAGAGCCTGGATGACTCCCAGTGCGGCATCACCTACAAGATGGAAAAGGTGTACTCCACCTTGAAGGACAAGGATGTAGAACTCTACCTGAAACTGGTGAGGACCAGACCCACAGGCAGGACCCATTGACAGGGCACGCGGGTAGGGCACAGGCCGGGCACACAGCTGCCTAAGTCTGGGGGCTGGAAATGGCTGCAGTTGAGAACACGGGGCATTTACTGGGGACACGGGCCCAGTGCCAGGGGATGCTGACCCACGTGCTGAGGCAGGCCTGGGAGCCTGGCAGCTGAGCATAGAAGCCCAGGAGGCTGGGAGCGGGTGGAAAGTTCAGAGTGGTGCTTGTAGGCTTGAATGTGGTGGCGCACGCCTTTAGTCCCAGCACTCGGGAGGCAAAGCCAGGCGGATCTCTGTGAGTTCGAGGCCAGCCTGGTCTACAGAGCAAGATCCAGGAAAGGCGCAAAGCTACACCGAGAAACCCTGTCTCGGAAGGAAAAAAAAAAAAAAAAACAAGGAAGAAGATACAGGTGTTTAGCACCAAGCCCGCCACCTTAGTTCAGTCCCTGGGCCCACATGGTAGAAGGAGAGCCGACTCCTGCAAGCTGTCCTTTACTCTGCATCCCTCCCTCCAAGAAATACACTCAAACTGTAACACGCTTGTGTATTTCATAAAATAGTTCAGTTTAAGCTAGACAGGGAGGGAGACACATCCTAGGGTAAGGTTCAAGCCAGCCTGACCTACATAGTGAGTTTAAGACCAGTTTATATGGAAACCTACCTTAAGAAAAAATTAAGGAGCCAGATGGTAGTGGTACAAAATCCCACAGGGAGGCAGAGGCAGGCAGATCTCTGAGTTTGAAGCCAGCCTGGTCTACAAAGTGAGTTCCAGGACAGCCAGAGCTGTTATACAGAGAAACCCTGTCTCCAAAACAAGCAAAACGAAACAAACCTAAAAAAAATTTAAAAAGACACATTTTTACATGTAAATGTTGCAAGTGTTGTGGGATAGGGATGTGGCTCCGTTGATGGAGTGCTTGCCTAGCATGCATGAAGCCCTGGGCTCCACTGGGTTCCGTTCTCAGTGCTGTATTAGCCAGCCACAGTGGTACATGCCTGTAATCTCAACTCTCAGAGGTGGAAGCCAGGGATATCAGGAGTTTAAGGTCATACCTGGCTTCATGGTGACTTTGACCCCAACCTTGGCTGTACATAAAAAAAAAAAACATTTAAAAAAAAAAAAATGAAGCCAGGCATGGTGGCACACACCTTTAATCCCAGCACTCAGGAGACAGAGGCAGACAGATCTTTGTGAGTTCAAGACCACCTTGGTCTCAAGTTCCAGGACAGCCAGGGCTGTTACACAGAGAAACCCTGTCTCAAAAAACAAAACAAAACAAAACAAAACCAAACCATAAACAATGAATAGGAACAACAACAACAACAAAAAGCCAATACTCAGGAAGCAGAGGCAGGCAGATTTCTGTGAGTTTGAAGCTAGCCTGATCTGCACAGTGGGTTCAAGACCAGCCAGGGCTATATGATGAGACTCTGTCTAAAAAACAAGTTTATAAAATGTTTTGTGGAAAAAAAAAATATGGACACATATACTTTTTTTTTTTTTTTTTTTTAGAGATTTATTTATTTATTATGTATACAACATTCTGCCTCCGTGTATGCTTGCACGCTAGAAGATCTCATCATTACAGATGACTGTGAACCACCATGTGGGTTCTGGGAATTGAACTCAGGACCTCTGGAAGAGCAGCCAGTGCTCTTAACCTCTGAGCCATCTCTCCAGTCCCTTTAATATTCTTATTTTATTTTATTTTGGTTTTTTGAGACAGGGTTTGTCTGTTTAGTCCTGGCTGTCCTGGAACTTTGTAGACCAGGCTGGCCTCAAACTCAAGAGATCTGCCTGCCTCTGCCTCCCCAGCATGGGGACTAAAGGCACACACCACCATGCCTGTCTTGAAGCATTCATTTTTAAATGAGTACGGATGCTATTTTTGCTGTGTGGTGCACGCTGTTTCTGTTAATACCCTCTGTGGCTCACCAAAGTGCTCCTCTCCTGGGGATTCCTGTTCTGTGAGGTGGTTTCATGGGTTATGGAAGCTGAGCACAGGTACTGTGCCCGGTGCTGGTCCTTGTGCATGTGGTGAGCCATCGTTTCCAAATCTGAAGGGCTTCTAGTGTGCCTTGAAGAAATCGAAAGGTACGGCAATGTTGGGTGGGCCGGCAGCAGCCGCCCCTTCAGTGGGCGGAGACTGCGCCCCTCCGAGGGCCCTAGCGGGGCTTGCTCCTAGGCTCTGTTTTCTTTGTGCAGCTGACCCCGATCCCTGCTGTCTCCCCAGCAAGAGCAGAACATCAAGCCCCAGTTCTTCGCCTTCCGCTGGCTGACGCTGCTGCTGTCGCAGGAGTTCTTGCTGCCCGACGTCATCCGCATCTGGGACTCGCTCTTCGCCGACGACAACCGCTTTGACTTCCTCCTCCTGGTCTGCTGTGCCATGCTCATGTGAGTGGGGCCATGGTTTGCCCTGTCTGGAAGGAAAGCTGACCGGGTATCAGCAAGCGGGACTTGCTGAGGGAGAGGGAGCAAGTGGAGGGCTGCCGGCCTGCTCCTGGGACAGCCAGGCCGCAGCTGTGGCTGCTTGTTTCCTTGCAGACTGATCCGGGAGCAGTTGCTGGAGGGAGATTTCACCGTCAACATGCGGCTTCTGCAGGTAATGGGCACTGGAGGGGAAGCCAGCCTCGGCCACAGGGCAGACACTTTCCACCCTCCACCCTGCAGCAGCCACTGTGGCAGGCTGGCCCAGAAACAGGAGCATGTATTGTGGGTTCAGGGTCCAGACTCCTGGACCACATCTGGTTTGGATCTGAGTTGAATCCTGGTCTTCACAGGCCTTGAGTAGTGCATGTCCTTGCCCTCCAGGACTCTGGATGACAAGATGAAGGTAGTGGATGTTGCTGCTGATGCTCAGGCAGGGAGGTGTGTGTCAGGAGGGTCTGACAGCCAGCCTGAGGTTCACCTGTGTTCTGCTCTGCTTGTCATGTGACTTGAGCCAAGTGACATTTTCTAGGCCTCAGTGTCTTCACCAACTCCTGGCTTAGGGTTGGTTTTCAGACACCTCACTAGCTAGGTCTGTAAGATGGATGTAATCACAGCATCCCTTCTTGGGGCTCCTCAGGGGCTACACTGCCCAAAGCAGCTCCAGCCTCTGCATGGGTGTGGCTCCAGGTTCTGTGTCAGGAAATGGGAGGGCTGAGGCCTTGGGCACCCCTGTTCTAAGACAGGCTGTGAGACCCTTTGGACCTCGGGAGTTGTGACCTCAGTGACACGCAGTGTTTGGGGTGGGATAGTCGGGGTGTCCGGTATACATGGTCCCTGCCCCGGTGCCATACCATGGTGCCATCTGTGTGGGCAGGCGGTGGGTGTGTTGAGTGGAACCCAGTGTGGCTGCTCCAAGAGCACATTGTGATCTTCTTGGTGTCCAGGATTACCCCATCACAGACGTCTGCCAGATCCTACAGAAAGCCAAGGAACTCCAAGACTCGAAGTAACCTGGTAGCAAGAGGCCTGGGCTTGGAAGAGCAGCCACCTGCGATCTACACCCTGGTTTGTGGGACCCAGAGCAGCCAGTGGGAAAGGCAGCCTGAGGGCAAGCTGCAGGCTTGGCCAGCTCCAGGTCTTCCCACCCTGGTTCCCATGGTCCAGGCTCCTCCTCCTGGAGCACACTGTGCTGTGCTCCTTCCCAGTGCTCGGCCCTGCCGCCCTCCCTGCACTTCAGCCCTGAGACCCCCTGCCCAGGCTGCCGAGCAGGGCTGGAGCCCTGAGACCCCCGCCCAGGCTGCCGAGCAGGGCTGGAGCCCTGAGACCCCCGCCCAGGCTGCCGAGCA